TAATAAAATAAATAGATTAATTATTAAATAAACTAATAACTAAAAAAAGAAGAAGAGAAAAGAAGACTTATAAGTATTTAAGACTTTATTAAATATATTAAATACTCGCTTTAGCTACGTAGCTTATAGTCTAATAAGCGACGTAAGCGAGCTTATTAATTTACTTCGAGTACTTTTACTCTTATATTATTCTTACTACTTTTAAATAGAATCTAATATAAAAAGATAATAAACGCTTATTTTAGATTATATATAATTACTATATTAGCTAATAACGTAAACTACTCTATATTTATTATTACGATATTTATCTATATCTTATTACTTATAAAAAAATCGCGATAAATTTAAAATTATTTATATTAATAAATTATATAAATTAATATTATAGATTTAAGAGAAATTAAGAATAAGATTATATTCTTATATATCTATAATATATATCTTTAAGATTTACTTTTACTTTTTTTCTCGACTATTCGCGAGACTAAAGATTAGATTATACTTTTTATATAAGAGTATTTAATAATTATTAATAGTATATATTATTATTAATATATATTTAGATTTAAAAATCTATATCTCTTTAATAAAAGATTACGATATAAAAAAAATTTTATTATCGATATCTACTAAGATAGTTATCTTATATTTCTTATTTAATATAATAATTTCGCCTTTTAGTAATAGAGAATAAGATTATTATTTACTTAATAATATATTTAATATTATAGCGATAAATATTAGACTTTATTTTTTCTCTTATTTAATTTATAATTATATACTTTATTATCTATAATATAATTTAAATATTTAAAAGAATTCTTATAATATCTTAACTACTCGTAATTATAATATTATATCTTAATAAGAGACATTTTATACTTAATATAAGAGTCGCTATCTTTAAATTTAATTCGCTTAAACTTTTAATCTTATAGCGTTAAAGAGAATAAACTCTTCTTTTAATCTTATTAATTTTTTATATATTATTTCTTAGACTTAGTATACTATTAATTACTACTTCTTTAATTACTTATCTTATTATTAAAGTAAATTTTATCTAAAATAGAGAGCTCTTTTATTTTTTATAGTCTTTACTTTATATTTTAATATTATTATAATAATATAATATAGATAATAGATTAAATAACCTCCTTTATAGCTTTTAAAAAAAAATCTCTATTATTCTATCTTATAAATCTTTTATATATTCTAAATTAATTATATAATAATCTTATTATAATTAGAGTATAATAAGATAATTATTAAAGCTAGCTATTAATTATATATTTCTTATTATTATTTTAACTAATTAGCGATCTATATTATAAGACTTAATAATTAAATTATAAACTTAATTTAAATATTATTTCTTATATTTCTTTTAAATAAATTTCTTAATATCGTATAATATCGCATTTCTAATATTTCTTTAAATCTACTTTTTAGTATTTATTAAGAGAATAGAAAACTAATAAGTCTTTTCTTTATTTATATAAAAATCGATATAAAATATTAAGATAATAAAATTATTATAATTTTAGAGAAATATAATTATCGAGCTATAGTTATTAAGATATTATATATTAAATATCTTAATAATACTTATTTTCTTATAACTCGAATTATAATAGTAATTATCGCTATACTTATAGCGATATTTTTATATATTCTATATTTTAATTAATTTAAATTTTTTAATAATTAATTATTTTTTAATATTAAGCTTTAGAAATTAATAGCGTTAAATTTAAATTAAATTTATAAAATAAGAATCTTCGTTTATAGATAAAGGATTATTAGATATAACGCTTTAGCGATTATTATTTCTATCGATAATATTATTAGAATTTCTATCGATATTAGAATTAATATTATAATCGCTTAATTATATAATAGACGTATTCTAATAAGAGTCGTCTACTAAGTTAAAAATATTATTAATAAATTATAATAAGACGTTTCTACTTTATAAATTAATAGAATCGACTCGCGAGTTACTTACTATAACTAAATTAAATAACTTTATATAAATAAAGTTATTAGAATTATAAGATAGTAAGATCTCTTTTAATAAAATTATATAATAGCTATATAATTACGAGATTTAGATATATAGTTAATAAAATAAATAGATTAATTATTAGATAAACTAATAATTAAAAAAAATAAAGAGAACTTATAAGTATTTAAGACTTTATTAAATATATTAGATACTTATTCTAGCTATATAACTTATAATTTAATAAGCGATATAAGCGAGTCTATTAATTCGCTTCGAGTACTTTTACTCTTATAAGATAGTACTTAGTTTTATAAGAAAACGCGAAATATTAAAAAGTATAAAATTTTTAAATTCGATAAATTCGACTTAGATGGCTACTACTATTATAACTATTATTATCTACTATTATAGTTTATTATAATAATTAATACTACGATATTATAGTCGTCGTTTATAGACGTAATATAGTAGATATCTCTACTTTAAACTTAGATATAATCTATTCTTATTCTAGCGACGTATATATCTAAGTAGTATTCGATATTTCGAAGACTTTATTATAAACTTTATCGTAGTAATAATAGTAAGATAAAAGAGATAGAAGCGATAAAAGAGATAAAAGAGATAAGATAATAGAAGAAGAGATAGTAGAAGAAGAGATAGAAGAAGAAGAGATACGATTTTCACGAAGTGATAGATCGATAAGATCTAAAAAACGGGGAATTAAGTTCTTCGATATAAAAGCCTTAATAGTAAGAAAGAATCGAAATTTTCATTCTTATTATACGAAGTTACTATAGAATTTTAGTAAGAAGTAAGCATTTAAGTATTAAATCGGACTTATCGAATTTAAAATTTCGTATTTTCTAATATTTCGTATTTTCTTATAAAATTAAATAAGACTATTAGCTTTAAAGCTCTTAAGATTATATATATCTAATATAAAGAAAAAACTATATATTTAATAGATAGAAGCTTACGCGAGTAAAAAAAAGTTTATATACTTTTAAAATTTATAAATCTAATATAATTTATTAATAAAAGATTCTATTAAGAATATTTTACTTTAAAATATATAGATATTAATATAAATAATAAATCTTATAATAAGTATTAGCTTATAAAGAGAATATTAAAGATATTATTTTAATTAATAAAGATAGAAGAATTACTTAGCGTATATAGACTTTTTTTTAATTCGCGTAAGACTATACGCGTAATAGTTATTTACTCGTAAATTTTAAAAGTAAATTACTTAATAGAGCGAGAATATTAATAGATATTTTTATTTAGCGATATATTATTTAATTTATTAATATTCTTACTCTATTAAGTAACTTACTTCTAGAATTCACGAGTAGATTTAAATAAGAGAGCGCGTTAGATTAAAGTAGTTTTTACGCGCTAAATTTAACGATTTTCGCGTTTTTTTCTTTTAATCTTATTTTAATACTATATAGATAACGTAAATATAATTTAAATATATAGAATTCGCGTATAAAATTATATAACTTATTAATAGCTATTATATATAGAAAAATTTAGATAGGTTTATTATCTAGGTAATCGTATAGCGTAAGCTATAAACGTCGAGTTTTGGTAAGAAATCTGAAATCCGTTATTTGTTTTAACTACTTCGAGTTGTTAAAAGTAGAATACCAGACATATTAAAAAAAGAATAATTGTTACTAAAGACTGATTATTGATTTATAAGATATACGAATATTTATATATATAAAATAGATAGCTAATAGTAACTAGTATTACTAGCTCTAGTATACGCGATATATTATATAATAGTCGAAGGGTTAATATTATAATACTTCCGATAGCCTTGAAGCTAGATTTCTAAATCCAGTATATCGTATTTTTATATTCAGTTTTCAAATCCACGCTTTATATTCGAGATTAATTATTTACCCGACCTCGTTAAACCTATAAAAACCCCGATAGAGAAAATAGAGAGTGTCGAGGCTTTTTGAATACCCGTTTCGGGATCTCGAAATAATATAGAGTTTTTGATGTTTTGCCCGTATTGTTTCGGGACCTCGAAATGATCTAAGGGTTTTGTGGTTTGCGTATTGTTTCGGGACCTCGGAATGATCTAGGGTTTTGATAGTTTGCCGTATTGTTTCGGACCTCGATGAAATGGTTTTAGTTCGACATTTTTTGTGTAGGGATTGAATGGCGACAGCCCCTCGTCGGTGGGTCGAGCAAAAATGGGCTGTGCCATGGGTGTATCTTTTATAAACGATCACCGAGACTTGTTTATATCCATGTTAGGAAGTGTAGGTGTTCGATACTACCCTGCCCGCTTCCGGCTTATCCTGTTGAAGTGGATACCGTATGTTAGAATTGAATGATTGTCCTGAGACTGATTTTGATTCTGGGATGTCGTTTTTGTACTAAATAGGTGGCTGATGGTGGTGGTAATTACTGCCCTGTAATACGCCATGTTATGCGATACCCTTTTGTAACACGAGTACGGTTGTTCTTCACTCTCGCTACCCGCATTTCGGTTAATCTGACGGTTCTAACCTGTGGGCTTTGAGGGTTACTTCTTCAGCCTTCCCATCGTTCTATTGTTCGCATGATGCTATTTCGCCTCACAGTCAGATAAACGCTTCTGATGGGTTGATGATGATATTGTCTACTCATGAGATTAACATTAACTTGAGAACTTCGCGCCCAGCACTGCGAGTGTGTCCTTGCACACTCTTTAAACGCGTCGACAAAAGGGGGTGTTAAAACGAAGAGTCCCCCCCACCATAGCATCACATCAATTTACCAAATCTGTTGTTTCGGGAAACTTCCTTTCTGTGATAAGTAAGAGCCTCACATTTAATCTAAGGGTCTGCTTTCTTTCCTAGACGGTGTACAAGCGTGAGGAAAGAGATGACTGATTTGCATTAGTGTTGGAAGCATCGTAGTACCATATGGCTCCTGCTGCTAGAATTCAGTAGGCCACGCATATCGAATCACCATTCTCAGCATGGCGAGAGCAATTAATCACGAAATTCTGTTGGCTCGAAATGTTCAAAGCCTGTCCTTCTTTCCGTGAGTTTAAAGAAATTGCTTTCTCCAAATAGAAAATTTTCTCTGCCATGTCAAGCTGTATCACAGACTAGAGCCTTCTTGCTCACACACCGAATTCATGATAGACTGCTAAGGGCCTACGGACTGGCTTATGTCTCTACTACCGCACCCAGACTGCTGAAACTCCTCCTCCTTCTTTACAGAAAGAAGTCGGCAAGGGGCAACATTTTCGCATCAGTAAGTGCGGTTCCTTAATTCGCATATCTTGTAGTCCCTAAAATACCTTACCCATTGCACGGCGAATACTTTGCTGTGACATTGTTAACGCCAGTACCAACCATACAAAAAGACCTGCTGATCCAGGCTTTTTACAACAGATATACTCCGTTCTGGCAGGATCTTTTGCTGTTCGTAGATTTCCCACCTTCTGTGCCGCGCTGGTAGGTGGTTACACCTTCCTACAATGGCTTCTACGCCTACTGTTTGACTATGCGTCTATCCCTAGCATGGGCAGAAAGGTACCATCGAAACGCTTGCGCAATGCGAGCCATGCGGCATCTCGGTTCTTGGCTGCGGTGATCTCGGCTTGGTTCAGCTTGGACTTATTGAACTACAAGGCCATCGCCAAGGTTGACCGAAAGAAGTCAAAACAAGCTGCACAAGATCAGCAACGACATGTCGTCAACGATACAGGTCCCACATTGCAAACTGCCAAGATCCTCGACTCGAAGATTTCTCAGGCTTCTCCGCCTGTTTTGGCAGGCAAGACCGTAGATCTCACTCTTTTAACCGTCACCCGCGCCCTTGATAGTCTAGTCGTCAATCTTTGTCGTCGCTCTCATCCATCACTTGCTAACACAGCATCCGCCTCGTCAACCTTGACAGCCATCTCTCGATATGCAGACACTTTCGTCTTCGCCCTAAGTTCCGGCACAGTGGTATGTCAACATTCCATAGCACTTTCTTTCTGATCTATGCCCCAATTTGAATTCTGAATTCTTTTTCGAAAGCAACGTACTCGTCGACCTCGTCCCCTAATTCATTCTCCACCTCAAAGAAGTAATGCTGACTTGGTAAACTTGAAGATGTGGGCCTGGTTCTACCTTCCCGATCGCCTGCCCCGAGCTTACAATAAGTGGATTGGTGAAGCCGCACAGGTTGATCACCGCCTCATTGATGTCCTACGCAAAGCCCATGCAGGAGAATTCATTTACGGTGAAGACACTGGTCAGGCTCATATACTACAAGGTATGTGTAGCGACTATGGCTGGCCTCTGGCCTGGGGCGATCCCGTCAAGACGACTCCTATTCCTTGCGAAATTGTGCACATGGGTACCGGCCCATCTTGTCACTGGCACGCTGCTGTGCGGTTTTCGCGGGCGTTCCAATTCGCATTGGCGACGAACCTGCCGCTCCAGCTATTAGTCAAAGCGAGGAACCCGTCTTTTAGAGCATTTAGAAGGGCGTGTGAAGAAGCCGTGCGGTCTTCAGCATTTTTGGGTGCGTTTGTCGGTCTCTTCTATTATGGCGTGTGTTTATCACGCACTCGACTTGGACCTAGGATCTTCAGCCGAGAGACGATCACTCCTATGATGTGGGACTCAGGCCTCTGTGTCGGAACTGGGTGTGTGCTATGCGGATGGTCCACCTTGATCGAAGCCGAAAAGCGGAGGATGGAATTAGCCTTATTTGTCGCACCCAGGGCGTTGGCTACGCTTTTCCCAAGAGACTATAATGCTAATGTCGGTCTTCCTTTGGCTCGAGACATACTGGACAGAAGCTGACGAAATGCAGCACTTTTGGAAAGAGAAGGCGGCATTCTCTCTAAGCACGGCTGTGCTCTTCACCTTGGCTCATGAAGATTCTAGTAGGGTCAGAGGGGTTTTAGGTCGACTGATTCATTTAGTACTACAGTAACTCCTGTCTACATAGATGACAAAAAATCAGCGGAATAACCATCTGATTCTGCGGTTTTCTGATGAAATGATGGCTTTGGGTGTTCAATGCTTGGTTCTCAAAAGGAGGACCCAGAAGCCTGTTGATCGAAAAGTTTCACCTGAATTTGCTATTTCTGCCAATGCGTCATAATGCTTCGATTGAAGAAGGATCCAAGACTCATGGTCAACACCTGCTAATCATTAATAATGCGGAGACGAAAAGGAGAATATACCATTCCTGCCACGCATGCGAGCTGTGATCTCCATTTAAAGGTAATGCTGCATCAAGACAGTGCAATAGCAATGACTTTATTGGCAAAAGGAACGGCAATGCTTGCGAAGCCCTTTGAGTATAGCAGGACGCTATCATCTCTCATGAATCGACAAGGCGTAGCTCTTCGCAGATTGACTAATTGGCACGCCATTGAAAGCGTTCGTGACAACTTAAGTTTTTGCGTTGCTGCTAACGGTGCCTAACCTGCAAATTGAAGGCCAACACTCTAATAGATTGATCTTCTCCAAACTTTGCAACGAGCAACATTGATTGGCAGATCAATAGAGATCATCTACAGTGTAAGCTGCTGCAGTCTTGCAAGTAGCCTCTGGAGCTCGTAGACAATGCGTTTTTAGCTAGAAGACATACTATCTGTAAGGTCTTGCTTCGATAGGTTTTGACCCAAACCAGGCGAACCCGGTGTTCAAGAGCTAGGAGCGTGGCTGTTCCGATCTGCAGCCTCATCATCGTCATCATCACCATCAGCTGCTACATCCATGACCTTTTCCCCGGCTTTTTCCAAAGTTCGGCGACTCCATGCGCGGACACCTTTGTAAACAGCCTGTATACGGCATCAGCTTCGTACACAGCAACCAGCAGAAACACAACAAATACCCAAAGAAATGTGGCAATGCCGATTATGACCACCACCCAGCTAATGCTTGCCAGGCGATCCCGCCCAGTATTACCAGAACGGCCGCCACCATTCATGATTCCAGATGTTCTGATATTCCACCATTGCCATGGCGATAGGGCGAAGAGTACCTTCACGAAGCCAAGCAATCCTAGCGATGCGAGTCCTTTAATGAAGTGCTCTGTCCAGCTTGTGACGTCGTCGTCAGTAAGCATTGGTTCAAGGCGGGCTCCGACTTTTGAAAAAGGCGCAGATGAGACAACTGAATATGGATCGACATAGAGATTGATAATGGGATCAGCAACGAATCCCATAACGAACAAAGCCATGAAGAAAATGAAGCCAGTCAGAGTTATTTGTGTAGCAGTGCTACTGATCCATCTGCCCCATTGCATTCTTTCTAGGCGATAGCGGAACCCGCAAGTCGGGCATTGCCAGTAGTTCCTCTTGCCGTATTCAGGATCCGCATGTCGCCACGCTTGGAGACAACCTTCATGGACGTATTTCGACGATCCTTTACACTTGCAAGGCCGCAGAAGTCGACCGGCTTCAGGATCAGGAGATTCATATGTAACTGATGGTAATGACTGAAACATCTCCGGGACACTCTCGGAAGGCGGATGGAAAGTTGGCTCAACGGTTTCGAGACATATTCGACATGTTCTAGGAGGCCAATGTTTCCTAGGCCTTGGAGTAGTGTTTGATGTTGGCTTTGGCGACTGATTGGAATTTGGGGCAGATGGCGGCTCTTCATGGAAAGCACCAGGCATGGATGAGCTGCCTCGAGAAGCTTGAGGCGCAAGAGTTGAATGGGAGTTTTGCGACCAATGCCATTCTGGATTTGGGTTGAAACCTGTGGAGGTCATGATGCCTTCATGAGGCAGCACGAAGATTAAGAGGAGTGACCTGCTATCCTACATCTAAATTCTTCTGGTTTGTAGAAAAGGATTGTATCCATACAAGCCTGAGAGGAGACATGACCAGGGCAAGGTAGGTCAACGAATTAATGATGACAGAAATGATAATAAGGCCACGTCTCTGCCTGTCCTTCGAATGATTACCTAGTCGGCTTGAACCCATGGCTAAACTTCGGCGTGTGTATGCTACGGACGCGTAGTGCAACTCTACCTATGCCCTGTATCAACTCTCACGTATTTCCCTCCAACAACGGTGTGTGAAGGCGACCTTACTCCAACCTTGACTCTGTCTAGACATCTGTATCTCTCCATAGCTTGACGAGGTGCGTTGTCTGTTGCTGTCCTCATCAGATAATCAAGTCAGCCGCTATGGCGGACCGATACTCCTTCTCCCTCACCACCTTCTCTCCGAGGCAAGATCTGTTCCCTACCTCCATCGCATGGTCATTTACTAATATATACGCAGTGGAAAGCTTGTGCAAATAGGTAGAATCTCCTCATCTCTCGCCGCTGCTGCAAGCTCCACTAACGGCAGCTTAGAATATGCCCTCAATGCTGTTAACCAAGGAGTTACATCTCTGGGTATAAAAGGTACTTGCACTAAATCATTTGTCGGTCGGTTCCATTATGCTCATATCTGACGAAGCCACGAATGGTATCGTCCTCGCCACTGAAAAGAAATCGTCCTCGCCGCTCATCGACCCTCCTTCGCTCTCTAAGGTCTCTCTTATCACCCCCAATATTGGCATGGTCTACAGCGGCATGGGTCCTGATTACCGCGTTCTCGTCGACAAAGCCCGTAAAGTCTCTCACACAGGCTACAAGCGAATCTACAATGAGTATCCACCAACCCGAATTCTCGTCCAGGATGTTGCTCGAGTGATGCAAGAAGCAACGCAAAGTGGTGGTGTAAGACCTTACGGTGTCAGTCTATTGATAGCAGGGTGGGACGATGGGGTGGAGCCCGAGACGCAGGAGCTCGCAGACGAAGGACTAGAAACGGATGCCGAGAAGAAGAAGGCGAGTGGGAAGACCGGAGGGATTTTAAAGGGCGGTCCGAGCCTTTATCAGGTGGATCCCAGTGGCAGCTGTAAGCGTTTCTCCCAGCCCTTGACTTCCTTATTCACGCCGTATTCGCAGTCATGGGACATATTTACTCCCGGAATGGTTTCATGGCTTGATACTTATCTCGAAGGGGAATGCTAAGCTTGAGAACCTTTAGACTTTCCTTGGAAAGCCACCGCCATTGGCAAAAGTGCAACTAGCGCGAAGACCTTTCTTGAGAAGAGATATAAGGAGGACTTGGAGCTGGAAGATGCAGTGCATATTGCACTGTTGACGTTGAAGGAAACAATTGAGGGCGAAATGAACGGAGAGACTGTCGAAATTGGTATTAACAGCGGCCCGCAGGAACTTGCACGTAAGGCTGATGAGTATGATACAGGTATCGTCGGAGCACCTGCGAATGAGCTACTCGGGTATGAAGGTGTCGAAGGAGCAGTCGGACCTAGATTTCGGAAACTGAGCAAAGAGGTACGCACTTCCGGAGGCATCATTCTATGTGCAATGGAATCAAGACATGGTTTGGGAGCAAAATACTTCTATTTGCTCCCAATATTTGTCTTGCATTGTAGAAAATTTCGAGAAGGAGTGATGCTAATCCTTGCAATTCGAGCAGGAGATAGAAGATTATCTTACAAATCTGTGATGGACGAATAATAGACGTCTCTTGCCCGAAGCACTTCGCATTTGTATGGAGCAATCGGAGCAAAGAAATGCATATTATTACCTATCGATAGCAAACGTCTGTTTTTGAGCCAGGTAAGCCACGTTTTCGTGGGTGCGAGCCTTCTCAGAAGTCTGCTTTGACTGGCGATGAAGCTCCAAACCGTCTCAAGATCAAAGGAGATCACAACGATGGGACAGACACTGTTGGCGATCTTCTCTCTGCCCGAGGATCAACCGCCATAAGCCCCTTTCGCACGTTCCAAGTCGCCTGACTTGTAGGGCAACGACCGCTAGATGTGTGTCGTTTCTCTATGTCTCTCGAGCATCATTCGAATTTGTGCATGGGCATGTTGCCTTGAATTCGACATTGTCCTACTCAGTAGCATCAAAGTTCAAACTAGATGTCTGTCGTTTCTGTATGTCTCTCGAGTATTAAGGGGACTGCATATGGAATGTTGCCCTGATTCGACCATTTTCCAACGTGAAAGCATCAGGGTTTAGGCCTATTATTCTCTTGCTCCCTTGGCATCCAACCTTCGCCGTAGGGTTCTAGTCAGTATAAAAGAAGTGAAGACTAGACGAACTAGAAGGGTTTTGAGAACTTTTTCTTCTCCAAACATCACTCTTAACATTCGTCAGCGGTCATTATTTCATCACTGTCGTACTCTGCCCCTCCTGTTATTTGACCCTCCTTGACTTCATCCTCGTCCTCACTCAATGTCTCGTCATCCCCCCCCTGTCCGTCCGCCCTTGTTACTTTGACAACTTCTTTACAGCCTCCGTGACCCGAACTTGACCTCTCCCTTCTCAGAATATTACATGCTTCATCCGCCGCCCTCGTTTGCACTTCCATGGTGCTAAAACCATCCCCAATCCTTAAAATCGACCTCTCTCCCACAATGACGGTACAAGTCAGACGCTCCTCGCCCTCTTCACCTTCCTTTCCGAGAACATATCTGACCTTGTCTTGGTCGGCCAATTGGCCCAGCTCCTCTTTTGGATGCAGTATTGCTATCTCGTTGTCCAAGACTCGGCGCAGGTAGGGCATCAGCCCGAGGTGCTCGAGGAAACTTTCACATTCAGACAAAGATCCGTGGGTGTCGATGTATATGGCACCCAAAATTGATTCAACGATATCTGAGAAGAATTTGGGCGGTTGCAGCCGCGCAAGAGCGGTCCAGGGATAATGGTTTCCATGAGCTAGAGAACTTGATATAGTCGTGTGGAAGAGCTTGTAGCGCGTAAGGCAATCTTGTTGCGCGAGACCAACAGACGGCGAGGCATGACGCATTGACTGCCATAGGTAGAAGGGGCGGGACACACCTGTGGTGGAGATTGACTGTGATACGTTGCCGAGAACCTCAAAGCGACTAATGGAGGTCGAAAGAGTGAGGCAAAGAAACCCAAGGAAGTTAGAATTGACCAAAGCAGCGCGGATAAGATGCAATTTGTGCGTCGGGAGAGGGGGGTTGCGGGCAAATGCAGTCGTGGTGACGATGATGTCAAGTATGGCGTCTCCGCAATATTCCAGTCGCTGGTATGATGAGCTGGTGTTGGGTCCATAGTGGGAAGGATGGGTGAGGGCTTCGACAACGAGAGCTTTGAGGCTAAAGTCATGCGAGATCACCTTTTCGGCTTCGACGACATGATTGGATACCGGAACCTGAAGCTTGTATACCCCATACAGTATCTGGCTCGCCCGCAAAGCTATGGACCACGGTACTTCTGGCAGAAAAACCTCCAGACAAGTGGCTGCCTTTTGTGACCCCCCATCAAGATATGAAGCGCCTATCAGGGCCTCTACAACATCCGCAAGTGTCTTGGTAGACATCTCACGAGTGCGCTCGAGCTGGTTCGCAGCTAATCTACCATTGTATAGCGGCCGCCACTTTTGGCCAGTGAATGGTTTCGTGATGATGAATCGGTCCAATCCCGTCCGCATGGCTGCTGTGGCAAGCGAGCTGTTGGACACTATGTGGTCTTTCTTATGCGAAACTGGATCGTAAATTCAGAGTCAGTATTGCCAATTTGGAGGGGTACATTGAGCCTTGAAATATGTCTATAGGTCGGACACTCCCAAGACATGTCTCAAGACTCAATCTGATCCAAGGGAGGAAATTTAGACGCCGAAAATACGTACGGATACCTTCATGGTAGTTTAGATGTTCTGCCATTAGGGTCAGTGAGGTCATATACTTCAGGACGCTGTCACCAAGCGTCTCAAGGCGCTGATAGTCCGTAGCTTCATGTGCCGAGGAAGCGCTGATCGCTGTGGTCACAAGGCTTCGATCTTGAAATTGTAGCGGGGAAAGGACCGTGTTGCAAAGGCGTTCCACAATCATGGCTACTTGGACCTTGTGAAGAATGGATGGAACAAACATCGCAAAACGGGAGTAGCTGAAGGGTAACCTGCCCACCTCACATTCGTTCGCAGGCAGCCGCTGGAGTCCAGACTGTTTGGCAAAACTTGCATTACCGCTGGGGACCGGATGCAGAAAGTCGGCTCTCTTCGGCAATCTTTTCACCTCCAAATAAACACAATGGCTGGAATCAGCTCGATCGAGCTGCATGCTGCCATCATGCACGCATTCAGAGGGTTGGCACTGCGTCTTTTCCAACAAGCAAGGCTCGGTATTCTTATTCTGAAGAGCTTTGGTGGTGTCGTCAGGGAGTGTGTCTTCCAAAGATGGATATATAACGTCTTGAAAGATATGCAATGTTCCGTTGTGGCTAAGATCTCTGATAAGGCCAACATCTCTGCCAACGTCCTGATCGCAAAGATCTTCAGCTTTTAATGCCCCTGAATGAGATGACAGCCACGTTAGACGGTCCATACCATTTGAAGGCATGAAAAGGGCCGTGAAGTCGTAACGGCCATAGTCCACCCTCCCTCTGAAAACAGATTCCAGCAAAAGAAACGTAATCTGGGCAGCCGAAGCTGTGACCGCTGGGGAAAGGATCGTTGATTCAGGCTCAATGACCAATTGGAACGTGGTGTTTTGGTCCCAATATAAGTCGGTTGTACCGGCAATCACTGGGGTTCTGACTGGCAGTAGCATTATCATATCAGTTCTGACCTGGCTTTGTCCCGCGATTTTGACGAGGGATCCGTAAATATGGGCTGAATCGTTCCAACACTGTGCAACAGAAGGCCATACGTCAATCTGGTCGGAAACTTTTACAATACTTGGACGCTTCTCAACAGCGCCATACGCTTCATCTACTGCTTCATCCACATGTCCTAATGGTAGGAGGTTATCGTTCACAAGACCTGCATGGTGCAAAGCTTTGTAAGCCTCAAAGGCCGCATCCTTTCGGGCCATCTTTTCAGTGATCCACGTGGATTTGCTGCAAGCGCTGCGAACAGAGGCATCGACCGAATTTGGCAGCAATACTTTCGCCGAGATTGATTTTCCATCGCCACCAGAGGAATGTTCTTCAAACGTGAATATTGGATTAGGATCCACATATGGCGCTGCTGGCAGAACAGCGCAGAAGTGATAGAGGTGCTGAACAGCGTCGTCTAGGGTGAGCCTGGCCCTATGTTGCACCATTGCATCAGTAAAGGCCATGCCTGCGAGTCGTTTCTTCGGCTGCTTACCCACTTGATTGAACCAAAAAAATTCGATCGGCCGTCTCTTCTACAGATTCTAGCCTTTGAATCTTTTGGAAAAGTCGCAATTCATCCATGTACGTCCTTCTCATCTCGTCTTCAAGCTCAAGCCAGGTCGACACGGCGCTATTTTGGAGGCCGTCATCCTCGAACATGATGATATACTTGGACGCTGCCCTCCTTGCGCGACCCCTTCGCTGGATGAAAGACTTCAAGTTTGGAGGTTTGTTAAAACAAATGACTACGTTGCAGGCCGATACATCGATACCCTCTTCTAGGGCGTTAGTAGTGACAATCAGGTTCTTCCTGCCAAAACGGAGATCATCCAAGGTTCCTTTCTGGTTTTTGAGGTCCACCAAGTCGCCAACTGTATTTCGACGGCCAGAGAAACCAGACTCCCCTACGAATGTTGCGACTTTGAACCACGGGGCTTGTATTGAAAGTATATGGGACAACACAGCCACTTCCGCCCTTGTGCGCACAAAGATGAGGCCCGAGAATGTTGTAGAGTCCATGTTCCACAGACATTGAATCAGACTCCGCACTTTAGGTGTGATATGATGGCTTTCCAACGGGCAACCGTCTCGTTCGAAGACCACAACTTCGGCAAATTTCCTCCGTAAATATATCTTCTCGCGGTCTTCCAGGCCTTCTATGACGGAGCCTTGACCCGCTCCCCGTCGCAATTTGGCGACACATTGTCGTATATAGTATTCGGTGGCGAATGACCCAAGTTCGTGTTGAACGGCTAGTGCTTTGTCGTACAGACCCTTTATCTGATCGTGGCAGTATCTGGGTCAATGTCAGCAAAAAGTTCGGCTCACCAGGTACCCCGAAAACTTTGAGGATGCTTGTCCTTACGTCCTGTTGCTTATCAAAGCTTTGTTAAGAGCTTTAGCGTTGCAAGTACTTGGATCAGACTTCATCTTAATGATCCAAGGGTCTTGCTCAATATCAAGGCCTTCATAAACTTTTCTTAGGCTCTCTAAAGCTTGAGGAGCTATGAATTGTGGACCATTGGGTAAATACACGAGCTTGATCAGTTCAGGTTGATGCACAAATTGAAGCATCTCGTCACGATGAATCTTTGGGGTCCGGGAAAATGCGTTTAGGTTGGACTCAAGTAACCTACGCCTACGTTAGCAATGTCCGGACATTTACACTGGGATGGGTAGACAAAGGATTTTTCGCAGAGCACAGAGAGTAAAACTGAAATGTTTTGCTCACCCAAGATTTCCAGCCTTACTATTGACAACCGGACTGGCAGAAAGGCCAAGTATCGAAGGTCGGGCTTCAGTCGGGGATGCATGGTAGAAGTCCCGCAGTATCCTGCTTGATGGGTGATTGCCCGTGCAAGAATGTGCTAAGGGTAGCTATATTAACGATGGGTAAATGGACAGGGATGACGCTAGAACTCGCGCACCTTCGTCGAATACTAACAACGCTAATTGGTTCATTTGTACAAAACCATGGACGAGTGCATCCAAGAGCACCTGCAATGTCAGCACCAAGAGCTGAAAGCCTTCACAGCAAACATCTGGATTACCTGATGTGTGGAAATGACGATATCGATGCCCTTGAGTACATCATCCCATATACACTGTTCAGTCCAGAACTCAACATTGTCGGCTCCCGAAAGCACCCTTGCCTGAAATGCAGGTAGCTGGGTCGATAAAGCGTCATGTTGCTGGATGGCCAAGGCAACCGTTGGAACGCAAAACCAGACCAACTACGGAGAACATCAGAGGGTCAAGACGTCAAAAACGCCGCTCCCGAAGAGCCATGTCGCATACTTTACCGGATGGACATCGTTCTAGCTCGGCTTGTATACGCAGAATCGCTCTAGAAGCGGGTCAGATCATGATAATGCCAAAGCGTAGATTTGTTACACAAATGTCTTTCCTGATCCAGTGTCCATCTATATGTGTTAGCAGTTGAAGTAACTGGGACCGAGAATGTCGCACAGCAACAATGATGTTTCTCCGCATGCTCTCCTCGAGCATCTCGAGCTGATAAGACCGTGGCTGGAAGGCTCTGTCTAGCCCTGAAAGTCCATTGTGCACGGTGGGCTCCTCATGAACGACGACGTTTCTGCCTGACAGCTCGACCGTTGACAACAGGTTCGGAGAAGACATTTTCACTATTCAAGTACACAGAAAAAGCCTCATTTCATCCCAGGAGGTTGTGCCCAGGTGTCAGAAGTAGGATGATGAAAGTGTTTGTCATGATATAGTCACGTGGTTGCAGGGTCGTTTTGATAGGGTGGATATGCGACGTGGATCTTTTGTTACACTTTATGTTCCTCTTTGCTACCCAAAAACTCCTGGGTGAACAAAAGACTTTTCCGTACATAATCCACCACCTTTTCAAGCCGACAAAAGTACTCAGTTCATACTTATTTTGTTATCATTCGTACAGTTTAGCCTCCAGTCATCTTATATCTGACCTCGACCAACTACATCAGATAATTCTTGAAGAGCCTTGAATCGGTGAGATTTGTGTCTAGATTTGAAAGAGACCTGAGAGGGTGGGTAGTAAGGGCCCGTTTGGCTACCACCTAAAATCCACATTTTCAAGAATATTTTCAACATTTTCGTCTTATACAATTCAGTACTCTTTTGGTAACCACATTTTCGTCCTGAATGCTTATAAAGCATGAAATATATATGAAATATATAGGGGTTATTTCACATTTCTGAAAACTTGAGATAAGGTATGTTTTCATTCGAAATATACGCTATAGATAGACTATATCGCTGAATTTAGGCTATAATTATCATAAATAATTATATATATTATAGCTATAATCGATAATAACAGTTAGCTAGCTGAGGAAACTACTATTATTATTATTTTAACTACTATATAGTACTATTTATATTATTTTAATAAGACTTCGTAACGTACTTCTATTCTTTCTGATCATATATACGTATAGTCGCTTCTTGGAGAAGAATACTCTATGAATATTTAAAAGACTTTTTATATGCCTTTATATACTCTAAATAGCTTTAAAATTAGCTCTTTAATTATACGCATTTAACTTCGTCTCATACTATTAAAATAGTAGAGAAAGTCGCTATCTTTATTCGATAGTAGGTTATAATCTTAGTAATAATAGATTATATAACCGTTTTTAATACTTAGACGAGACTATTAGTCGATGTTATTATAAGGTCTTAAAGGTTATATATATTCTATATTAGCATTTTATTTAATTGTTTAAAGTATCCTACTCTATTCTAGCAAAAATCTCATTTAGTCTTAAATTTATATCTTATTTCGACGACTATCTAGGCGTATTAGACGTATATATATCGCTATTTATATACTTATAGTAGAGTATATATTATAGCGAAATAGAAAGAATACTCTTACTTAAAACGTTTTAGCCGTATATGATTTTAATATACTATTTTACTATATATTATCTAGCTAAAAAGACTCTACACATAACGCCTTAGTACTAAGAGATATTACTTCTAATTATAGCTTTTCTATCTTAGCGAGTAAGTATTATCTCGTTAACGCTAGATATTCTAATTATAATTAATTACTAATTCCCTATATAGTATACGATATTATCTAAAGGAATAATAATAGACTAAAATAAAGTCTAAGAATATAAAGGAACTATTTAATCTACATCACTCTCAGCTACGAAATATTATTAAAAAGGATATTTAATATATTTAAACGGCGATTTAAATCTATTAAGAACTTTATAGAGTTTAGTATTTCTACTTAGATAGTAAACTAGTATATCTTAACTATAATATATAACTTTATTACGCTATATCGCTCTCTTTAATAATATTAACTCGAATATATAACTAGCTAACGAGTCTAATAGTAACTCTACTAGTAATTTAGATTTATTAAAGAATAGATACTCTACGACTATTAAAATAAATAAGAAAAGAGATAAAATCGCCGAAGTAATATGGAAGGATTATTAAGAGTATATTTCTTAAAGAATAATTACGGAGATGCGTATATAAGAAGTCTTATTAATGAGAGAGGCTTCGATATATAAGATTTAAATATAATAGTATTTAGCTAATTCACTTCGATATACTTAATATATTCTTCTATCTACTTACGCGCCTCTGTTATTTACCTCTATAATTAATCTTTTCTAATATTATTAAGTACTATAGTATATATAAAGGTCTTATTATAATTTAGAAATACGTTTACGACTTTCATATAATTATTATTATTAATAAGATTAAAATCTTTACTTAGTAGAGCCATAGCTTTCTTAATAATAGCTTATAATATTTCTTTAATCCGCTATATTTCCTTCTATTATCTTTATAATACATCGCTTTCTCTTTATTTTAGATCTTTATAATGAATCTTCTACTCCTTTAATAATAGAGTTTATAAACTATTCGCTTATCTTCTTAAGACGCTTAACCGACGATATAGATATTGCTATTACGAAGCTCGTATATCTCTTTTTCGCTATAATCTATAATACATCGATATCGAATGTAACGTTTATATCGACAGCTTATAGAGTATCTTTCTGAGTATCTTTCTAAGTATTGATATGTAGGGATAAAGAAATTATTTCGAGAGTGGATCGATGAAAAGATTAAGAGGTATTATATGGCTTTCTATTGCTATTCGCCTAATAAAGTAAATATTAAACTCTTTAACGTATAGAAGAGAAGTCTAACGAAGCTCTTTTATAAGCTTATTCTTCTAGAAAATATCAGCGAAGTATTATTAATAAGACGATCTTCTTATACCTTAATTTAGGCTTTTTATTAATTATTATCGACTATATAAAGTATAATTCTCTTATTAAAGTTCTAGTCACTTAATTTATAGCGAAAATAACGATAGAGAGTTTATTTAGTCTTATATAGAGTTATCTTCCTCTATATCTAACTTTATTTAACTTATTATTTTATAGTTATTATAGCCTATATAGCAGCTAATATATATATTTATACCTCGATTTAAAGCCTATATCTAAGCGTTTATCATTCTTATATTATTATTTCATTTCACGATATAATTCAGCCTTTATAATAGTGATTTATTTGAGAATCTCATTAATCTATTATAGTCTACCCACTCGAACTAATATCTCTTTCGATACTTTATAATTAATAAGAGGATTACTAAGGCTTTTATCATAGTAGCTATATCAATAAGAGGTGATAGGATAATAGACTATTCATGTTGAAGACTGGTAGATATCTACTATATAAATCTTGCTCGAGAAAGATCTTAGTAATATTTAGCGTTCACTGAATCAGTCGAAATGTACTATAAATGGAACCGTTATATATCTATATATATTGAAATCTACTAGCCTCGTTTTGAGCCTACATTTTTGAAATTAGTGTGATTGGTTGAAATGTATGAAAATGTGGATTTTCGTGGTAGAAAGCCCTAAGGATGTAGATTCTATGGAAGCCTCCTGCAGGAAGGTAACCCCACCGCCAAGCACCTAATCTACATACTCGTAGGGGCTGCCTAGCCAACATAACTAGTGGGCCTTAGCCACAGTAAGGTAAGGTAGATACCATACTTTAGGTATTTGGCTCTGCCCCCGTTCTCACATAGCCAGCGTGCCAGTCATCCTTCTACCTCTGGATGTACCTCATTGGTTCCTCTTATTTCTCACGGCTTCCGGGGTGCCGGGCAAGCTGCCAGAAAAGTGGCAGTCTTTAAGCGCAGGACCTCTCAACTGTGACAGAGACTGTGGGTGTCAAGTCGAATACAAAGCCTTCGGCCATGGGGCGTTTACTCCTCGTGATTATGAGTCTCGATGTTTTTGGCGCTCGTACCGCAACAACTGCGACTTTCCTGGCCGCACGCCAGCTTCTCCAGCAGTCCCACTCCGTCAAAGAAAAGCTGATTGGAGTACCTGCAAGCGAAGAGATTGTGGGGTGCTGGTGGAGTTCTAATGAGAAAGCGAAGAATGTAGGGTCTATAGTCGTGAAGTGTACTAAGTGATGACGTATGAATCGAGTCCTTTCTTGTATGCTTAACATACCAGCCGGTCATTCAAGGATCATCCAGTTCATGTCCAGTGGGCTTCGGAATCCTGTGACTGTTCAAAGGCGATTTCTGGTCTTTGCAAGCTCCGTGAATCAAGGCAACCACTTTACAGCGCGATTTATAACAGCTGCCACGATCCTCAAGCCAAAGAATCCGGCAAGCGCAAACATGATGCATCCAATCCCCAATGCTTGCAGGTTCCGCCGCTCTATCCCAGCCTTCTTTATGCCAGGCTCTAGGGCATCCTCCATCTGCGTCTTCTTCGAGAGATTCGGTATGTACTTGAAGTCGAACGTCGTCTCTTCCCCCAGACCGCTTTTGTTCTTGATAATGACTTGCCAGAATACCCTGCGTAGCGCCTGGTCGCCTTTTTCAGCAAGCGTACAACGTTTGCACAAGGTTCTTACTTACCGCAATCTTCCGTCGGTCAAGGTATGGTACAGATCTGTATGTGTAGCAGATGGCCATAAAAAAAAGGCACTGCCCAACTGCCAAGGCCCAGTAGTAAATGCTTGGTCTGCCGATACCGAGTGCATCACTTAATTCGCCGCCGTTCAGCCATCGACTGTTGACTTGAAGGAACGCCTCTGAGGCAAAACCGGGAGGTTGGCCCGCCAGTGATTTGATGATATTATTTGCCAAGACCTTCGAGGTTTCCGTGGGCTTTATCTCGTATAGAAAGAGGACCTCCATGATGCGCTTCGCCTTCTCTGGCGTCTCAAAATGCTCAGTTGGAGTGCCCGTCAAATAGGCTATATAGCGCCACAAAGCGACGTAGTCGGTGACCTCACGCTGCGTCATGAAAATGCCCTGCCTTGGTAGGCTGATCCAGATGAGCGTAGCACAAAAGGTACCTATGGTTCCTATGCAGTCTAGATCGTTGATTGGTATTCCCCACGCGTTGATATCATAGTACTCTGGCCGTTGTCGGGCGAGTTTCATGATTCTTTGGCGTACAGCCGCATGGAGTAAGCGAACTCGTACCGAAGAGGCATGGCCAGCGCCACCAGGTTGGATGGATTCCAGCGATCGGGTACACTGAAGTAAATGCTGTGTGGTTTCACTGCGATTATCAGTGACAGCGAAACCTGGAAGGAGACCACAGGTACGCACAATAACCGGTGCCTTGCCACTTTGGTGGAAAACCCGCCTGGTAAAAAGTATTAAATCAGGGGAAATTATGGAGACATATCTGGGCAAACCTGTTCGCGCTAGTGTCTCTACGACTCTCGCCGCCCCCTGGAGATCCAGTTCAGCTAGTTCCCATCAACTCAAACGGTCAAATAACTTTACCATGCCCCCAAGCAAAGACTGGAATGCGAGGCCAGTTAGAACAGGGCCGCCGTATCTATAGAAACAGTCTTGTCCTCGAGCAATCTGATCCCAACATACCCAGGAAGGAACCGTATTGACTTCGACCCACAACTGACCCAGAGCTTCATCATTAAAGGCATTTTGCCGTAACAGAGCGTAAAGATCTCTTTTACCTTCCGGAGCCTGTTCACCAGTGCCGTGGGAGTTGAACTCAGGTTTGGCCTCGTTTCTGACCAAACTGCGAGGAAGACCTGAGCTTGGCGGTGGAGATATCCTGTCCAATTTCTCCAAAGCTTTCTCTCCTAACATGTCGTAGGATTGCTTCATAGGGTCCATTTGGTCCGGATTCAAATGATGCTCTGTCAACTGAAAAGTATATCCAAACGCAGATCGTGTGTGAGCATCCGGTCTTCGAAATGGGTTTGCCCAAGACATTTTGAGTCTTCATGGGCAAGAACAATAGAGTGGAGTCAAGTCAATCTGACGAAAGCATGGACGTTGGTGGAATAAAATTTAGAAAAAGAAGAATGGAGTCGTCATCATTTCAATGTCTAGATTTATCAAGCCAGGCAACGAACCAACCCTAAGTGAATTTCTCATCCATGAATAGAGTCGGCATTATTATTATTAGCATGCTCAGAATTACATACCGATTGCTGAAGAGGAGTCGGTGAGATGAAGATGAGCACCTATTTCAGAGTACAGTGTTGGCGCTTGGCAAGCTGTCAAAAGACTTGGCGGTCTTAGGGGCCGCAACCCTTTGGTTTTTATCAAATGATCTGATTAGGATCACCACATTGATTCGGGAATAAGGAACACAGAGCCTTTTCATCGGTTACACTCACAGTGGCGGCAATTCAATATGCCAGAGGAATCAATTGCTGGAGCTCGCTTCTTCTGACTTCCTTTGGATATCGAGCCCCAGAATACGTGGCCAGTATCAGCAAGCACCGCTCGGACGACGAGCCAAGGGAAGAGCAATTAAGTCAACAAGGCAAGTTCCTCCTGGGTTGCTTAGGAAAACAGCCTTACCACTAATAACGCATACCCTATGTCGAATTTGAACTTCAGTAACGTTGCCGCAAAATATATTGCCTAAGCTCAAATCCATAGTTGTGGGCGAAGCAGTCATTCCGGGCATGTTATTGCGTTTCCACATCGACCGGCAGGCTAGGTGCCAGAGGATTTGGCAGTCTAAAGTGTACAAAGACCAGTATCAGTAACGACTTTCATGCACTATTTAGTGCTCTTACATTGTTCCGGTTTGAAGACGAAATAGACGTTCATTGGCCACTGGGTGCACAAATCTATATGGCATCAACATCATGATTCTACCTTGCATATATTCATACAGGAGTACCATCATCCGAAGCATATGCTACATCGCTCATGCAAAAATCCACCGAACACCAACCACAAATATGTCCCAATGTGTCCAGGCAAGTGGTAAGAGCACAAATGACCTAACTATCTATTATTCCAATTCCAAGGCTCCCTCCTGTGCACCAGCATTCGGGTTAACAAGCTCCTCAAGGCTCTTCGCTTCAGTCTGCGGGCCATCAACGAATTTAATCTCTTGAGATTTTGCTTTCATAGACAATCTTTCATCGATCATTTTAGCCAGGTACACATCTAGGACGTCGGCCCCCATAGGCTCGCCGCCTACACACTTGCTACTCGCAATCTGATTGAGAGCACGAATGGTAAGGTTGAGCTCCTTAGCCAGCTCTTGAAGCGTGCCATGCTCGAGCTTGGCCACTGATGACGAGGTGATCCTATTTCGGAACGTACGCAATGATATGCACATCTGCTCCCCCAACTCATTAAGATCGTTGAGGTTCGCTGCGCTCTTGGTCCGTCGTCGACTGTCCAAAGAAGGAGGTTTAGAGCTAGAGCTGAAAGCATTCTTCTGACTTGATGGGGCCCGTGAGTGGTCTTGCGAGGTCTGGCGCTGAATTCTTCCATTTGCAGGAGACAGCGAAGCGCCTACAGGGAGTGGAAATGCCGGAGCGGAGATCTTGGGCACAGCAGCCAAAGTATATCTGGAAATCTTGCGTCGGACGCGAGACGAAGAAGATGCTCGTATCGGAGTCATTGTGTCGCCCTGGCTTGCCAAAGATTTCTGGAACTCTGAGAGTTCTGCCTTCGACAGAATTTGTCTCAGAGGTTGGGCGGATGGCGGTGTTTGTCTCGAAGGTGATTCTTCGCCATTGGGGGTATCGTGAGATCCAGTTGGTTTTGGCGGGTTGCAAGACAAACTCCACGTCATCACTGTACCATCAAGGCCACAGCTGACTAGGTGATTACGAGGAGACTCGCCTTGTACACATCTTCGGAGGAGCTTGATAGCGGAAACCGCATTCTGTCCATACTCTCTAGTCAACATTGCTCCCGAGTCGTATTCGTGAATTCTAATGGACTTGTCGGTGGAAGAGACGCCCAAAAGTAAGCGCGACGCTGTTGCCATGTCATCGAGCTCGTGTACCTCTAGCGAGCTCATCATCACGCTGTCGCCGCTCATAGGGTCTGAAGGCTTGAAGCTGTGCAGAAGACGGCCAGAAGACACATTATATCTCAGAATTTGCCTGTCCAATGTGGAAACCGACACTACGTTCGGCTCGGCAGGTACCGCTGTGAGGGACACGGGGCTGGCCTTGAGTGTGATGACCCTGATGGATAAAAACGCTATCGACTGCTCTTCTCCATGGGCTAGCTTTCGCACAATTATCGTCCTGTCTGATGATATCGATATGAGAGTGGCCTTGTCTAAAAATTTAACGTCGCCAACGGCTGCCGCATGGTCATTCAAGGTCTGAAGAAGGTCCAGGCGGGATTCATGCTTCCGAAAAAGCTGCAAGGTCCTATCTCGTCCACAAGTCGCAACGATAGTCAAACCCGCTGTGTTGGCGACAGCTATGCCATTCATATCTCCGCTATGCGCCTGAACAGCCACGTCCGTGTCGGCAGATCGATCAATGAGTCTAGGGATAAATTGGTCAGCGAATGTTTCTTGGATGATACTGTATATGCAAATGGCGTCAGAACTTACCGCAAAACACCGATTTTATCGCCTGAAAGCAGATGCTCGTCAGACCCTAAAGGAACCACTATCTTTAGATCATTGGTATCGCCATCTTCTGGATAGACTGGCTGCTCCAGAGGAATCTTCATGCTGCCAGTGCATGTACCGTCGAGCAACCAGAATAGTACAGTACCTCTTGCTGAAAAGGTAAGAAAATCAGGGCCATCGACCCTGGATTTGGGCAGCAGGCTGGACACCCCAAGTACAGCACTCTCGTGGGCAGGCAGTCTTTTGGAATCGGAACCCCCAGAAGCTCTTTCGGTGTCTGCTGCTCCCTGAATCTCAATAATTCGGTGGGAGTCAATTGTGATGACCCTACCGCGCACGAGCCCAATAGCCATAATATCAGGCACCATGTCTGAGCTGGTTGAGGAGAAAGGCAAAGTGGTACCATGTGGGACTGTTGGTATTGTAGGCTTGATCAAGGTATCTAGATGCAAGGACCTCATAGTGCCTTGCCTGCCTCCAATCCAAACAAGCCCGTACATATGATCGAAAACAACGCAGAGGATGCCAAAGTCGACCTGAGCAACTCTCTCAAGTCGCTGCGTCCGGTGGCTGTCGTCCAGAAGGCAGATATCGCCTTGCGCAGTACAGAGGATAGCCTTACAGTCGGATATCGCGGCGACGCTGGTAAATGTTGCATCCATCAGAGGTCCAAGTACGCAATTCCGCCCTGCAAAAGCCTTTGGCGTTAGACTCCCATGTGGTCCTATGCCATTATTGTCCAATTCGAGAGGAATCCGCCAGACCTTGGCATGGCGAATTCCAATACTGACTACGCTGTGACCCAGCCACGTAACACGATGCACATTACTGCACTTGTTACTAGAATGTAACCTAGCCGATCCGGTCTTCGCATTGATTGAATATATAAGTATGAACCCGTCATAATTATTTCCAAGAGTGCAAAGCCAACGGGAGTCGTGAGAGAATGCAACGGAGGAGATCCCGAAGCTATGGTCGCCAAGGATAGACAATGGGACGTCCGATGGACTATCAGACGCTGTAGAGAAAATAAGCACTCTTGGATTATATCCCGTCTGTACCCATTAATTGAGGATAGCGAACCTAGGGGCTGGCCAATTTACCTCTCCAACAGCCATAAGATCACCTCCGCGGCTTAGTGACACGCACGATGTTTCTCTGCTCCGGTTGTTGGGCCTACCATGACTTGGTGAATCTGGAGGATAGTCCAGCAAGCTGTTTTGTATTGTCCCACAACCTCCGTCCTTGAGAGGCGATCCATGTCGACTCTTTCCCGGAGTACTGGGTGGCGTTGCTGGATTGTAGAATGATGGAGTTGCATTGACTGGTAATGCATTCGGTCTGGCCCTGAATAGTCGCTGGATGATATTGAGATGCTCATCGACTCGAGAAAGCACAGTGGCGGAGCCGGCGCAACAGACAAAGCTGTGGCGTTCAGGAAGCGCATCAAAGGCATTAACAGAATTTGAAGTGGTACCGACGACGCTTTTGAGGCTTAGTTGTAAACTGTTATACTCTCGAGCATGTTTTGTAGAATTGGGGCTGGGAGTTTGGATAGCATGAAACCTGCTTATCGGTGTGAGCATCGAGCTTCCAGCATGGCCCATCGAGCTCATCCTAGGTAGTTCAAGAGCGCAGTTCGTCCTCATCTGATGCGCAACCTGAGAAATTGAGCTGGTTCAGCGACAGATGCAAGTGCAATCGAGCCAGAGGTTGCCCGTCGGGGACATGCTAAAACTTCTCAGTAGCGTTCTCCAGACTCTTCACGGTGCCGCAACTGAAATCAAGACATGTTTACCGCGCGACCCGCTAAAGACCTGCGGACCCCTCGGAGTCAAACAGAATGCGAAAGCTTGGCATCCACACAAGGTCCCGCCCCCTCCTAATTTTGTATGTGTAGACCACCCATCATTGATGATATGACCTAGATCTAATTCATCAATCAATTTTTAATAGTCCGAACTGGTCAGTCTTTGAGGCTATACAGATCTACTTTGATCCTATAGTGGGCTTTCTCCTGCGGTTCCTCGCTTGAGAGCGCCTATACGTGGAAAAGCCTCTTTGGCCTTCTTGTTACATCCATTTTGAAACGACCTCTAGGCTCTGGAATATTTCTTACGGTCTTGATTGTGCCTTCCTTTACTTCTTATCGTATTCATGCCATGCTCGGCATGCGCTCCTGGTGCGCTAAGACGCTACTTTACCTACACCGAAGCCGCCAGAACAGCTGGCCTGCGCATTCGCAATGTTCGATGCTTGACCATTGATTCATCAAGGCACCTGTTTCACATCGACTCGTCCCTTCTACGGAATCAGGCTGCCTGCACCCATCGAATCAGTACGTTACAGCCGTCGCAGGTTCCAGGCTTTCAAGCTGCTCTCTCCCCAGTCGAGGACCCTACACGAAGAAAGGAGCCATCTCATCGCGACAGGAATGGCTTGATGATAAGGGTTGAAGATCCCACTGAGATACATGAAAACTTAGTGGGAGTAGCGCAGACAGCGAAAATACCTGTCGAGTTGCGTTCGAGGCGGGACTCGAAATTTTCAGGGTTTCTTAAGCCCCGATCTTCGCCAAAGGATGGAGAATCTTTCGACCAGGTTCGGTTGAAAGAAAATGCGAGGAATCCAGGACAGCGTGGCGATGCAACATCTATGTGGTCGAAAAACTCAATTCGTGAGGAAAACTCAGGATCTTCTAAACTCGCAGGCTCTAGCAGAAAGGCTCGGCTACAGGACTACTCCTCCAGAACTGTTGAGGGGAGCAATGAGGCAATGCGTTCTTCTCGGTCTGCGAAGGCATCCGCGTATTTTCGAACTGGCACTCAAAATTACAAGGACCAGCGTGAACCATGGCAGACACAGAAAAGCGCATTATCAGAGAAGTTCGGTCCCAGAGGTTGGCTTCCCCGGAAGCGTCTTTCGCCAGACACTTTGGAGGGCATTCGAGCTCTTCATGCCCAGCAACCGGATAAATTTACAACGCCAATACTCGCGGATCAATTCAAAGTCTCGCCAGAAGCTATTCGCCGCATCTTGAAGAGCAAGTGGCGACCAAAAGACGAGGAAGAGGAGAGGAGGAGACAGAGATGGGAGAAGCGTGGAGAGAATATATGGAGTCAACTGGTCGAGATAGGGATCAAACCGCCGAAGAAATGGAGAGATATGGGTGTGGGGAAGTCCAGGGAGAGAAAGCCAGCTCGAAGAGAATCGGTGGGGTCTTATTTGGAGTCCAATTCCGAGTCCAAAGTAACATCTAGCCTGCTGGGCCAATCCACTACAATTCTCCATACCATACCAGCGAACGGACATGGGACTGGTTCTCCGGTGCCATTAAGTGACAGGATGCTATGAGCCTATATGTAGGAATATACAGATACTCATACTTAATACTGTAGATTTAAAAATATCGCACGCTAGCATTGAGCCAAAACATCATTGTGAGGTGTCAAGACTAGTATGTTATTGCAACCACAAGCCATTAATGTTTTAGCCAGTTCCGTGCAATTCCAGATGATTTCCTGCGGCGAAAATGGACTCATTTGTGGTACATAGAACATCATTAGCTCTCTCCATGAGCCCGCTACGTCACAGTGAACGGTAGACGCCACGCTTCGCTGCCGCCATTGTTGGCAACTACATCCCACAGTTCAGCTACAGGTGTCAGTATTCCTGGCCCCATGAGCTCCACTGCATGGAGTGACGCTTGGCCGGGGTCATTACCATGTCAGACATCCGTGTGTCTGTGCAATGGAAGAACCCAACAGTCTTCGCCGGCGAGGACATCGAGTGCACAATAACATTCAAGAACATTGCGCTGGTAGGCAGTGTCCGCCGCTCACCATCCCCAAACTGTCACACTGCCAGCCATGGCTCACATCGGGACCGGTGGAAGGAGACTCTGCCTGTGCGCTCCGCCAACGCTCCTACGAGTGCTATGCACAGAACGTCGCCCTCGTTGACAGGCTTTTCTCAATCCCACGCCAGGACACACAAGCAAGCATTGTCGCTCAGCAGCGCCGACGGCTCTCCGAAGTCTCCCATAGTTGATATCACTGACGGCACATCTAGAAGCTCAAATCAGGAGGGAAACAAGCACAGGAGATCCGTCTCGATTGTCTCTTTTCGTGGGGAGGCATACCAGGAGACCTCTCCGCATAGTCAGTTGCTGAGCTCCGGACGTTTAGGCCATGGTCATACTCGTGCGGCCAGTCTGCATGTTATGCCCCGGAGGAACGGGTTACTGAGCAATGGACCATCATCAGGTACTTCTCATTCTGCGTACTTTACTACATGCTAATCACTAGGCCAGCACCAGGAAATGAGCGGGCCTTTACCATGCCTTCTCCTCTCTTCCGTGCTTCTACCTCGTATGCGGAACAACGTCTGAGTCTACAAACTATATCTCACCCAAAGTATCAAATGGTCTCGGACGTTGGTCTTGCCTCTCCAGTGACTGGGACGAGGGATCGCAGTTCCTATCCGAATTACAGATTTCCTCACGTGCCCGCCCCTATAAATGAAGTCTCTGGGCAAGTCCCCTGGTTACCCAACGAACGGTCGCATGATCCTATCAGGAGAGCTCGATCTCCGAGGTCTCAAGACGTTGGCAATGGATTTGACCAATTCAAGCCGGCCACGAGAATCCTTTCGCCTTCTAGTGTCAATGGCACACCGCGGAGCAGCGGCGAATTCTATTCGATGAGCAACAATTCAACCGAGACTCTAGCTTCGGAGTATATTAATCAGGGAAATAGCCGTCTGGTTCACAGGCCAGCTCATAGTCGGCAAGCGTCATGTCTTGCGCCTGCCAAAGCTTCGAAGCCACAAGTGTTAATGATGGGCTACGGGCAGATTACTGGCTCTTTCACCCTTGATGGGTCACTGGTCAATCAAGGGCCATTTGAAGAAGTCAAGAGGAAGGGCATTGTTGGTGGCCAAGGTGGTGGAGGTGTGGTACGCCATAAATCAACCAAGCGAGAGAGTGGACTTCTTGGATCTATAGGCTGGGGAAACATCGGAGGATCTCTTGGTGGCTTTCTTGGTGGGACCGAATTAAGTAGCCTCAAACAGACAAATGACAGCGAAGGTGCAAGATCGATTCCCATTCTTTCAACCCCCCAGTCGATCTTGTTCGTGGATCTTCGGCTCGGACCAGGGGAGAGCAAAAGCTATAATTATCGCCATCCTTTGCCCAAGGGCATACCGCCTTCATATAAAGGACGAGCTATGAAAATATCCTACAATTTGGTTGTGGGCACGCAGCGAGCGTCCAATATCACACAGCAGCACCAAGTCCAACGTGCCGATATTCCCTTCAGGATTTTGCCTAGCGTTAACAGTAAGATCCTGCCTTCGTTGGAACCTGTAATGCTCTAACGCCGGAGTAGGCCACGGTGAAATCCTAGGGCATGACTTGATGTCTCCTCATACAATCTTACAGAATACCGCAGTCACCTCGAGCCTTGACAATTCTCACAAAGCTGGAGTTGTCCCTGGAGATCCTTCTCCGCTAAAAGTCTCGAAATCTTCCCCTACAGAGTTTCTCTCGTATGTAGAAAAGATTCTTGACACACCTCGCGTCGAGTCAGGACATGGTCTCCTCTCTCCGACAGAGATTGACTCGCGATCACATACGCCCATGAGCGAAGAGCCAAGTACCATGAAAGAATCGATTGATCTTGCTATACTGAGAAGCAATATTGCAACATCGATGAATCGCAGCGCAAATCGATTTGAGATAACAAGAAGTGGAGAGCGAGTAGCAGTGATCCTGCTTGCAAGGCCCGCTTACCGTTTGGGCGAAGCTGTACCCCTCGCTGTTGATTTTCAAGATTCAGACATCTTTTGCTACTCGTTACATGCTACCTTGGAGACTGCCGAGACGATAGATCCCGCGATAGCACTGCGGTCTAAAGCCAGTATTCAACGGGTGACTAGACGGATTCATGCGTCTCAATTTGAGTCTACCATCTCTGCAAGAAAAGTCCTTTTCAGTCCGATAATTCCTATTGCATCAACCCCAGAGTTTATAACGTCCGGCATCAACCTTGAATGGAAATTACGGTTCGAGTTCGTTACCAGCCGGCTTGGCGATGCCGAGGAACTGGAAGAAGGCATCGAGGGACTCATGGAAGAGGTAGCTAGAGACGAAAGAGGCAGCGTTCAAGCTGCTGTGCAAGGGCTACCGTGCGAGACTTTCGAAGTCGCAGTACCCTTAAGGGTCTATGGGGCTACGGCAAAATTCGATGAGAAGACTGAAGCAGGCGATTTTTCCATATGAATTGCACGTTGTTGTCGATCACTGCCAAAGATCCTGCGGTGAGCTGCGAATTATGCTGCTAGAAAAGTACTATTGATACACTTTTCGTCGGCGCTTTTAGCAGCGACATTGACCGTCGAAGGCAGCGTGCACACAACGAGAGCTTTTCTAGGGGTGTTCGTAGCTCCAGAACCCCACCTATTCCACGGTAAATGTGTCTGGAAGCCTAGTGCCAGAACATTTAGGAGGATGCCGTAGTGGAAGGCATCCCGTTTTGTTGACCGAGCAGCCATATTAATGTTATCTGCCCAAGTCTAGCTAATCAAGGTGGAGCAAACCCTTTCCAAATCCGTTTCAGGGATGACAGGCACACGGTCTTCGTGGTATTGGCATATGGGAAATAGGAATGCCGCTGTACAATACGCCCATCGAATGTCGTCAGTGTGCTGAGAGATATTCCATGCCCCTAGAATTCCAGATGCATACTGTGGCGGGTCCTTAACCGTGATTATACCATGCAGAATATCGTAACCGGCTGATGACTGGTCAGAAAGGTGTCTCCAAAAGTGCTCGAAAAATCTATGAAATATTTAGAAGAATTTGAAACGTTGACCAAGCAGCCCTAAGTACACACTAGAGTACGGGCTCACCCGGGTAGCAAAAAAGCCCGCACACCCTAACCAAATGAAGACGACTGCCTTCCCAGCAGAATTACCTACATTGTTGAATGATTCTCTATATAATAGCCAGTCATTTGACCGTTACCGTCTATTACAGCCTGAAGCCTTTCGGGCGACGACATTGTGCTTGATAATGAGGGAAGACTACTAAATTTGTGTGTGAAATGTATGCGGGATGGCCCTGCTTACTCGGAGTTGGTATGGAGAGGACACCAATGGAACGACTCACCAAGATCAGATAAGGTCATCGATCTAGCAGCTGCTAGCCGGGTGGGGCTTCGGGCGCTTAAATCGTAAATCGCGGCAAGTCGTCTCCAAGGCAATTCCTCGATCTCAAACAGTAAACAGTGAGACTAGGTACACCAAAACCAAACAAACAGCTGATTGCCAAGACGGGCAGTCATTTGGCTATCCAACTCGGTGTAAGTAACATTCCATGCGGGATCTGCTACCATAAGTAGATGTTTCCTGACTGACCCAGTGGAATGCAGTAAACCCTCTGCGTGACATCCAAGGCGCAGATACTGCAGACAGTGAGATGGCTTCATTCATCACCACAATGTTCGTCTCTCCACCCTTCCCGGATATATCTCCCAAGCCGCTTCCAGCCGTCTCTACCCCAGTACAAATCGCTCCATTCCGCACGTCACTTGCTATTCATGCTACACTTTATGCGGCAGCAACGAAGCAGCCGAAGCAAGCCCACGAAAATGAAGATCTAAGCTTATCGTATGATGTCGCTAGAAATGCAAGAACGAGAGGTCAATTCAAGCCCAAACACGCAAACAAGGGAACAAGCAGCTACCAATTACGACAATTCGCCGAGGCGACTCTTGGGAGCGGTAGTTTGAGGAAGGCTGTGAAACTGCCCGAGGGAGAAGACTTGAGTGAATGGCTAGCCGTCAATAGTAAGGAGAATACAGCATCTGCCTGTGAAGCGGCTAACGTCTGACAGTCGTCGATTTCTATAACCAAATCAATCTTCTTTACGGTTCCATCACAGAGTTCTGCTCTCCACAGTCGTGCCCTGAGATGAAAGCCACTGATGAGTAATGTTCTTCCATCTCAATCAATCGGGTGTCGCTGATGAAATAGATTCGAATATCTCTGGCAAGACTCCGAGAATTTCAAGCGACCGACCAAGATGCCTGCACCTGAATATATCGAGCATTTGATGGCATGGGTCCAGAGTAATATCGACAACGAATCGATGTTCCCTAGCAGGATAGGTGGGTTCGACAGGATACTATACCCTTAATGATGCTGATTGAAATGCCAGGCGTGCCCTTTCCAAAATCCTTTCCAGTCCTGATCCGTCAGATTTTCAAACGACTCTACAGAGTATACGCCCATATCTACTGTCATCACTATCCGGTAGTTGTTCAGCTCGGATTAGAACCTCATCTGAACACGAGTTTCAAGCATTATGTTCTCTTCATTGACGAGCACAGCCTAGCAAGCGGGAAAGATTTCTGGGGGCCTTTGGGAGACCTGGTTGACAGCATGCTGAGGAGCGACTGATTAGTTAATCGACAACCGAGTTGCGAAGATCTATGATGTGAAACGGACGCATGCATAACAGGATTTTGGTGCATTCTTTGGCAGCGGGATAGGTCTGGGTCTCGTCTACTTTTGTAGTGTCTTTGATTTAGCATAATTACGTATGCCACATTGCAAATGAGGACGAGGGGGAGCCCGTAAATAGCAAGAAGGCTTGGCGCAGGTGCTAGTAGAACGGAGCAAAACCATAAGGCTCTATCCGCCCGGCATTAAGTACCGTCTGTGATACTTCACAGCATCTGCCACTCTTTATTTCGTCGGTAATCTGTCAACATGTTGTCAAGACAAGTGAGGACTGTGTCATCGAGAGCAGCAGCGTCCCGCATATCTTGCGCAGTTGCTCCTCCAGCCCTGAGGACCTACGCACAGGCAGCGCCAGCTCAAGATGCTAAACCACCAGTAGCTCTGTACGGCCTTGACGGAACATACGCGAGTGCATTGGTATGTCCGAGATATCCATACTCCCTACAGAAATTGAAGGCGGCCGAGCTTGAGTCATCGTCAAAGGTAACTGATTGTCCTAAATCTAGTATACGGCCGCAGTCAAAACATCTGCACTCGAAACCACGTCGAAGTCTCTCGCAGCCTTAGCCGATGTCTTCAAAAAGGACACCAAGCTCCCCGTCATTCTCACCGCTCCAACTCTAACACCTGGCGACAAGTCTCAGATTATTCAGGAGCTACAACGGCACATGGGAGGGCAGGATAAGGGCGATACGGTCAAGAACTTCCTGAAGACACTCGCCGACAACAATAGGCTTGGGATACTACAAGGCGTGTGCGAGAAGTTTACAACGCTTATGGGTGCTGCAAGAGGGGAGATCGATTTGACCATCACAAGCGCTTCGGTAAGTCTTCAGCTGAACGATGGCGACTTCTTTAAATTGATGAGCGTACTTATTTACAGAAGCTTGATCCGAAGACACTTCAAAGGCTAGAGACTGCCGTCTCCAAATCAGAGTACAGTCAAGGCAAAAAGCTCAAGGTCATACCAAAGGTAAAGCACAATGATGATCTAGCTCTCTGCAAAGGTTAACAGATTGAAAGGTGAACCCTGAAATCAAGGGTGGCTTGGTTGTAGAGATTGGAGATCGGACAATTGATCTGAGTGTTTCTTCGAAGATTTCGAAGATGAATAAGCTCTTAACCGACACCCTATAAGAATTCACCCTCTTAGGAAGATAGGGAGGTATATTAGGGAGAGCTTTTGATCGAATGGTCTGACAACATCGGAGCACCATTTGCGTCGCGTTGTACATCATCAACAGTCCCGCAGCCATTTCCTGAAATAGATTTAGGTCTAGATCATTGAATACTTCTACAACCATGGCTATTGAGGATTTGCGACCTTTGTCGTGGTGAAATGTTAGCATCCACAGGCCCGAATCATTTCGTCCAGAATGTAGACCATTCAAGTCATCATCCCAGCCTTTGCGCTCTTATCCTGCAGGTAACTCTTTCGGTGTGGGTTCTTCTCTAGCTCTGGGGCGCGGTTGAGAGGTGTCCATTTCGGCTCGTCCTTGAACAGTCGCATGGCTTTGATGTACTGCTCATATCATCAGCGTTTCCTTCCCTGGAATCGCACTTCCAAAGCATACGTTCTTGTTATCCGTGGTAAAGCGATGGAAGATGCCTACGACGTTGTCCAATTAGCGCTGATCTAGCACTGGTGATGGTGACAAGATCAAATGGACTGGGACTGTACCCGATGGTAGAATGATCAGGTCATCCTTTTCCAGCCCAATTCTGACCCATTCATCGCTGTGGCTCCTCACGTCGAAAAAGCCATTGCCGTCGAGTATGTATCGGATCTCTTCATCCTCGTGGAGGTGCTCGTTGAAAAACATCTTTACTTTTTCCTCGTATACCGGACCCATCTTCTCTGGCGATACAATGATCTCATCTCTGTTCTTGTAAGACCGCTCGGAGGCAATCTTGTCAACTGTAGATACCGAAGGGCAGTGGTGGTAGAGGACGCCGAGGTGAGAGAGGTAGTCTGTGCTTACAGCGCGCCCAGAGTCATGGTCTTCGCGCTGATCGCTCTGGCATGGTGTCAGAGATCAAGACGGGTGTGGAGGTGATATAGCCTACTGGATCTTCGTTGTAATAGTATGCTTTCATGGTTGCTCAGAGAACATATAGATGTTCGCTTGGTTCAGTAATTGAACTTCGGTTACTGCTTAATATGTCTCGTGCTAGAATATAGCCGGAATTTTTATGCAAGCTGGTGCGGTGTTGTTTGTTTGGCGGCAGCAGCTCCATGACTCCGGACAGTCCCCCTCCCCGTCCATACTAATGCCGCCCTAGCGGGTATCCCCGACGGGTTAAACTCTCCCGGTACTTACTACCCTATGATGACACGGGGGTGTCAGATCTCGTCGTACACCCTAACCAAATGGAGAATAGGATATTCCCTCAGGATTTTGTAGAGGGGCTAAGCCGCTTTTCTAAATCTTATTAGAGTATATAACGAGATCTGACACCCTCGTAGATGACTATTCTATAACGAAGAACTTAAAAAATAATTAGCTAGTAAGCTTATATTCTTCTTTTTAAACTTTATTATCCTTATTTTTTTAATCTTTTAATTTAATTTAATTTTTATAATATAATATTATTTATTAAAATTATTAAAAAATATAATTAAAGAAAGTAAGTCTATTTTAAATATATAAAAAATAGTTATAAGAAAGATATAAAGAAAGTATTAAAATTCGAATTATATAACTCTTAACGATTATATATATTAGTATATATAATAGAATAAAATAGAGCTAAGTATAAAAATCTTAAATTTATATATATAGTTAATTATAAATTTAAAATTATTATACTTTTTAATTAAATCGAATAAGTTAACTCGTAAGCTCTCTTAAGCTCTCTTATTAAGAATTTATATATAAAAAATTTATACTCTAAAATAATTAGCTTTCTATAAATATTATTACTTTATAATTTCGTAAATTATAGAGCTTAATTTACGCTTTCTAATAATATAAAATTTATAAAATTTAATTTACTATTAATAAATTAAAATATTATTTAAATATTATAGTTATATTAAATATATTTAAAATTAAATAATAATTCTTTTATTTATTTACGAGTAAAGGTATATAAATTAAATTTATAATTTTTTTTTTAATTAGATCTATCGAGTAAATTTAATAAGCGATCTTTAAGAAGCGATATTTAAGTACCTTGCCTTTTAATAATTATAAGATTAAATTTTAAGTTTTTTAAAGCACTTAAAAGCGAAATCTACGCTCTATAATTTAAAAATTTAATCTTAAAAATTTAATAGAAAATAAAAAAGTTATTTAATTTGTAAATAATATATATCTATTTTTTTAATAGTTAATAGTTACGAACGCTAATTTATTTATTTATAATAACTTAGTCGATCTAATTAAAGAGCGTAGTAACTCTAAATTTATAATTAACTATATATATAAATTTAAGATTTTTAAGCTTAATTATATCTTATTCTATTATATATATTAATATTAATATAAATATAAATATAATATAAATATAAATATATTAAATAAGATAATTAAGTTATTAATTTATATAAATAGAAGAAAGATATTAAATAGTAAATAAATGTCTTTATTAAAATACGCTAGATTTAAATAGATAAGAGAGTTAAATAATATATTAAGAATATAAAATATACTTATAATATTATTTTCTCTCTTTATAAAATTATATTTTATAATTAATAAATAAAAAGATAGAAAAATAGATATATATATACGCTTAACGTTTAAAAAATAATAAAAGTAATAAAGAAATAATTATATTCGAGAACTTTAATATTATACTTTTTTCTATAAGTAATATTAATAACGATAATTATTAAAAGTAGAATATTAGATATATTAGAAAAGAATAATTATTACTAAAAGACTAATTATTAATTTATAAGATATACGAATATTTATATATATAAAATAGATGGCTAATAGTAGCTAATAATTACTAGCTCTAATAATACGCGATATATATGCGATAGCCGAAGGGGCTAATATTATAATACTTCTCGATAGCCTAGATTTCCTAAACCTTAGTATACCGTATCTTATATATATTAGTTTTCAAATCTACGCTTTAAATTCGAAATTAATTATTTACCCGACCTCGTTAAATCTATAAAAAACCTCGATAGAGAAAATAGAAAGAGTGCCGAGGCTTTAAATACCCGTTTCGAAACCTCGAAATAATATGAGAGTTTTTTGATATTTTACCCGTATTGTTTCGGAACTAATAATTTACCCGTATTGCTTCGAGACCTTAAAATAATGTAAGGATTTTTAATATTTTGCCCGTATTATTTCGAGACCTCGAAATAATCTAAGGGTTTTTAATAGTTTGTTTATATTGTTTCGAGACCTCGAATAATAATTTACCCGTGTTATTTCGGGGTTTTAATAGTTTACTCGTATTATTTCGAGACCTCGAATGAAATAAGAATTTTAGTTCGATATTTTTTATATAGGGATTAAATAGCGACAGCCCTCTCGTCGATAGATACGAGTTAAAAAAATGGGCTGTCGTTATGAAATATATCTATTTATAAACGGTTATCGAAGACTTAGTTTAATATCTCTTAGAAAGTATAAGAATATTTTAATACTATTCTACTCGCTTTCGGGCTTATAATCTATTAAAAGTAGAATATTAGATATATTAGAAAAGAATAATTATTACTAAAAGACTAATTATTAATTTATAAAATATACGAATATTTATATATATAAAATAGATAACTAATAATAACTAATAATTACTAGTCTTAATAATACGCGATATATATACGATAGTCGAAGGGGCTAATATTATAATAATAATAGCTTATTATATTTACGCTATAACGATATTATTAATTAAAGTATAGATATATATAGAAAATCTAATTAAGAGAAAATCGATATAGTATAATAAAAATAATATCTATAAGCGTAGAGATAAATAGTAATAATTTTCGAATTTATATTTAAGCGAATAGAATATTAATAAAATAATACGACGTAATTAATCGAAGGCTCTCGAATCGAATCGAGTTATAAGCGCTAAAAACTCTAATTTAATATTAAGTAAGTTTCTCTATAAAATATTATATAATTAATATTAATAAAGGCTATCGATAATAATAATAAGATTTATAAATAATATATTATAGCTTCGAACGATACTTAGATATCTATTAATAAGAAAACTCTACGCGAGAGACCTTATATAATATAATTAATAATCGATATAGATCTAAGAGATTAATTCTCGACTTCTAAAAAAATAAGACTATTATAAAGATATCGAACGATTTCAATTTAATTAAAAACGAGATATTTGAATTAATTTCGATATTTTATAAGTTAACTCTTATAGATAAGATTTTTTAAAATATCGTTAGGGGGGAAAAAAAATTATAAAAGTCGTTTACTAGATCTTAGTAATTTTCGAATTTATCGCTATTTATATTATACTAAATAAGATTATTATTAAAATCTTTCTATTTAACTTTATACTTAAAACGACTATAAATTAATTTAAAGATAAATATTTCTTTAATAATCTATTTAATCTAATCGTTAATAGTAATATATTTTAGCGAAAAGTTTATCTATTCTAATAAAGAATTATTTATTATTAATATATATAAAAGAATAAGATCGAGTTAAGCTTAAAAATCTTAAATTTATATATATAATTAATTATAAATTTAGAGTTACTACGCTCTTAAATTAGATTAATTAAATTATTATAGATAAATAAATTAGCGTTCGTAATTATTAAAACTATTAAAAGTAGAATATTAGATATATTAGAAAGAATAATTATAACTAAAAGACTAATTATTAATTTATAAGATATATGAATATTTATATATATAAAATAGATAATTAATAGTAGCTAATAATTACTAGTTCTAGTAATACGCGATATATATACGATAGTCGAAGAGGCTAATATTATAATACTTCTCGATAGTCTTAGAAGCTAGATTCCCTAAACCCTAGTATATCGTATCCTATATATATTAGTTTTTAAATTCACGCTTTATATTCGAGATTAATTATTTACTTAACCTCGTTAAATCTATAAAAAACCTCGATAAAGAAAATAGAAAGAGTACCGAGGCTTTTAAATACCCGTTTCGAGACCTCGAAATAATATAAGAATTTTTAATATTTTGCCTATATTATTTCGAGACCTCGAAATAATCTAAGAATTTTAATAATTTACTTATATTATTTTAAGACCTCGAAATAATCTAAAGACTTTAATAATTTACCCGTATTATTTCGAGAGTTTAAAATAATATAAGAATTTTTAATTAATTCGAGTTCTCGTATAATATAAGAGCTTTTTATTTATATTAATTTCGAGATCTCGAATAAAATAAGAATTTTAGTTCGATATTTTTAATATAAAGATTAAATAGCGATAGTCCTCTCGTCGATAAGTACGAGCTAAAAAAATGGGCTATCGCTATAAGATATATCTATTTATAAATAATTATCGAAGACTTAGTTTTGTCAGGACCAGCATAGGTGCGATACCAGTATGGGTGAGGTAGAACTAGGATAATAAGGCTACCGAACTATGTAGGTGGGAAGGAGGCATGATATAGATAATAAAAATAATATCTATTAACGTAGGAGGTCGAGATAGCCATAGGGCTAATTTTCGAATTTATATTTAAGCGAATAGAATATTAATAAAATAATATATATACTATAATTAATCGAAGACTCGAAGACCCTTTAATTCGAATCGAGTTGAAGGTTATAAGCGCTAAAGCACACCAATTTAATATTAAGTAAGTTTCTCTATAAAATATTATATAATTAATTTAATTGCTGGGAAAGGCTATCGATAATGACAAGAATAAGATTTATAAATAATATATATTATAGCTTCGAACGATACTTAGATATCTATTAATAAGAAAACTCTACGCGAGAGATTTTTATATAATATAATAATTTATAATCGATATAGACTAAGAGATCTAAGAGATTCTGGAAACTTACAAAAAAATAGGACTTTTAATGCCGACCTCCGTTTGATATAAAAGTCGTTTATAGATCTTAGTAATTTTCGAATTTTAATTT